GTGTGAAAAAGAGCTTCGTAACTCATCGGATTCTTCCAATATAAAATGAATATTCTGATTCTGTGTGTGTGTGTATAGTGGGAGTGATACTGATCACCCACCCCCTCATGGTGCTCACTGACAGCACTTGCCCCTGCAGTCTTTTGAGACTATACCGGTGATCTTCTTCCATAGCTGTAGTGTCGTGGGCAGCGTGCAAACCGGCAACCGAGTTCGTTTCCGGCTTGCGGCTAATATCAGCGACGAATATCTGAACCAGTCCTGGGCCTCCACTGGGTCAACTCAGCCTGAAATGAGTACTTGGTGTGTGACGTGTGAGCCGGCGTGGTGCTGACCACCCACCCCCCCCCCCCCCCGGCCTTCATAGGTGCTCACTAGCAGAACTTGCCCAAGCAGCTTGCTAAAGGCTATATTTTTGTCTTTTATATATATACAAGGTGGCACTGGAACATTGAGATTATTTGGTTTGAAATCCACAGAAAGAAAATTTGAAAAAAGAAAGAAAATTTGAAAAACGTCTTTTTTCTAATTTTCTTGCGGTGGATTTCACACCTGATGATGATTGCTGCTTGTGTTGCAGTCGAAACGTCGTGAGAATTTTTTTTGTTTTATATTCATATTATTTTATTATCTCCCTTCTACGTGACTTTACCGAAAGAACCAAGAACACACGTTTGAATGTAGAACCAAACGATGGGACAACAGCTGGTGAACAATGTTGTACATTGTACCTGAGAAATGTATCAACCAAATAATCTCAATGTTCCAGTTCCACCTTGTATATATATAATAAAGACAAAGATTCCCCCATAGAGCCTTTAGCAAGCTTCCCCATCGTTTGGTTCCACATTCAAACGGGAGTTGCTTTTAATTGAAATTCTCTCTCGCACCTCCCCGCGAGTTTTGGGTCTTGGGTTTGGGCCTGTGCGTGTCTGTTCGGCACGGCGGTTCCAACACTTCACCCGACGTGTCGGGGGCTTCTTCGGGGGAAGTGAATGAAGAAGGTCCCAGCACGTGGAGTGAAACGTCGGGCATCGTGCCAGGCTAAAAGGCACGACGGGCAAAACTCAGAAGACACAGCGGAGAGAGCTTTGTGTCGTAACCTACGCGGTGGCAAATCCACTTGCAGTTGCCACTTGCTGCTGCTACGTGTGTGTGTCTGTGTGTGTGTATGTGTGTCTGTGTGTGTGTCTCTGTGTGTGTCTCTGTGTGTCTGTGTGTGTGTCTCTGTGTCACTGTGTGTGTGTCACTGTGTCTCTGTGTGTGTGTCACTGTGTGTATGTGTGTGTGTCTGTGTATATGTGCCTGTGTGTCTGTGTGTGCCACTTGTAGCTTTACAAAGGAGAGTAAATTTGCTCCATTTTTTTTGTTCACTTTTCTTGAAGGGGGATTTTCCAAATCGTTGTGCTCGTGGGGGAATAAAAAAATGCCACCTTGTCAATCGAAGTTTTCCAGTTTCTTAAAAAGCTTCGGCTTTACAACGATTGGTCGGTCAAGGTGTTGCCCACTCCGTCTCTCTGCTCAGAAGGTCCATTGCCCCGACATATCAGTCTCCTCCTGTACAGATTTGTTCCCGTTGTAAGGCAACGGTCATCACGAAAGTGTGGAGAGAAGTTTTTGAAACTGTCACCCTCGCAATCGCCGCAACTGCCAATCTCGGCGCTCTATCCATTAGGCGCACGAATCGATCTCATCTTTGGCCGCCCCACGGCACAGCCCCGAATCTCTGCCGCCGGACCGCACTCCGTGACGCTTGTCATTTCGTGCGGAAGAACATTTCACTTTAGTGGGGAACAACAGTCGGTCGTAATTATGATCATTTTAATTCAAAGGGTGCCCTTAATTTGATCCCAGAATACCAAGCGTGTTAAAGATGAATGACTCAGTGCGAGGTAATGAGGGAGAGAATGACTCGAGGGACAAGATGGAGGACTCGAGAGAGAGGCCCTTTGAAACAGGACGGGTCTTCCGCAGGGACTTAGAAGCAGAGGTCGCAACCGGGTACCCGATACCCGCACCCTACCCGATACCCGGCTACCCGTACCCGGCCGGGTAGCCGGGTATCGGGTATCCGTTTGCGACCCTGGTGCGGCCGGGTACGCGTAGACCGTGAGTCACAGGTGAGTCACCGTTTGTCGCTCATTTCCCAACGTCTTGTCTCTTCTCACAATTCAAGTTCCTAGAATCAACCCACCCGCGCCTGCAACATGGCTTCGTCCCAGAGGTCACAATCGGATACCCGATACCCGTACCCTACCCGTACCCGTACTCTACCCGTACCCGGCCGGGTACGGGTAGGGTACGGGTACGGCCGGGTACGGGTACCCGTTTGCGACCCTGGTGCGGCCGGGTACGGGTAGGGAATCAAAACCCGTTTGCGACCTCTGCTTAGAAGGTCTCCATTGACTCTTTTTGAGCTCCGAGGGCACACTCGGGGCGCCGTGCAGACACAAAATCTCGATCGCTACAGATTCCGAGTCGTCCAACGGCAAGCGCCTCGTGACGGTGAACGTGTATGTGTGTTGAACTGCTTTAGCAACGCACGTAGCACGCCATGCTCATCGGAAGTACGGCGGGGGGGGGAGGGTGTGAGGACAACAAACTAAACACAAGAAGCAGTTCAACATCTACACGTGATGACGACGATGGCGGTGGTGATGGTGGTTTGGTGTCTCCCTGTTGCCAGGATCCGTGTGCAAAACAAGCTGCCTGATCCCACACAGCGACTCCGTTTTGCTCCCTGAGAATGTCACCGTCCCGGAGAAGATCACCGCCCCGTCGCTGCCGCACTGGTGGACACTCCCCACCAAAGTTGAGGTCGGTCCTTTCTTGAAGCCGCGCGTGAGGATTTGCGTGCGGTGGGCACCCCCTCCCCCCCTCAACCTTTTCCCGTTCCGATGGCGTACGCACGTGTCACGTGTGCGCCATCGGTTCTTTACAATTCCATTCTGTGGACGCGTGTGTGATTCCGCTCCGATGACGTTCGTACACGTCAAGCCATGCGGGCGCGTGGGGCACGGTTTTGCGCCAGCTATCGCAGAGTGAGTTTGTGTCGCTACAGTTCTCTGCATTGTGTTAAAAAACAGTGGCGCTATAACTCTCCAAATACCATTAACACTGAACCGCTCGCATGTTCTGAGATTGGGCGGTGAATGGGACTCCACCACCCTGCAACTTGGAGACATCTCAGACACGGGAACAGGTTAAATGCCTCAGCAGCTGCAAGCGCCTTGCGTCACTCACACCTCGTCTCAACAATCCCAGTGCTCTGCTGCTGCAGGTTTACGCGCGAGTCTGCCAGCGCGGCAGTGGTGTTGGTTTTTCTCGATGAAGTACATTGTGAGAAGTTTCATGTGCCAGTGCACACACAACCTCTGTTTTGCGTGACCTCACGGGGGATCTTGAGGGTCCACTGCGAAACAAACGGTGCCATCTTCCTTCGGTCGGTAAAAACCCCCGTGATTAACCAGGGCGGTCCATGGGCTTGAAGCGCGAAAATCTGCAAGCAACGGAAAATGCGCTGCTGGTGCTGCTGAGCCATGTCACCTTGTGTTGACATTGCGAGGATGTTTTTTTCGTCTGCATTCTTGAAACCAAGCTTTCTTGATTTGTTTTACAGTTGGCTTTAGACGGCTGCAGCGTTGGTTTAAATCACGGCGCGCTCCAGTTATGTGTCGGTATGAAGGTGTGTTCACGTTTTCATTGCACGCCTGCATCTCCGTTATGAAGGGGAGGATAAATGGTTTAAACCAAACGAAAGTCGCTCAAGTTGAGTTCTACACTTTTGTGACAACGTGCGACAGCAGTCGCTTCCACGGTGCATCGACTGATCCTCTATTAATATCGATTCTGCGAAATCCGCTTTCGAGGGCCGTTCTCTCAAGCGCACCTGCGATGAACGCCGTTGGCTACGTACGACGTGAAACAAGTTGAACATCCACACGAGACCCGCTTAAAGCCGTGCGGTGGTAGCGGCAGCAATGGCGTCGTCACCAGCAGTTGCAGAACGCGGCAAACAACATCCGTATGCAGCGACACACTCGGAGAGACAGGGAAGTAGGAGGCACTCTGTTTATTAGCAGCCTTCACGAGCTACAAGGGGCAACAACAACAACAACACACCCCCAGTCAGGATGGCCGGCAGACCGCCGGACTGACGACGCCCGAGAAGGTGAAGACATCGACGAAGACTCCATCAGCACGACGGGGGGATCCCACTCCAAGCGACAGCCCCGAGCTTCCGTTCTGGGTCCACTTTTATCCTCCCGGCCACGCCCCCCTTCTAGAACGTACCAGCGGGTTCCCGGGCTCACCTCACGTGCCCCCCCCCCCCCCTGTCACCTTTCCCCGACACCCCTCTCTCTGACTTGTCACGTGACCTGCCGACAGGCAGGGCTGCTGTTGCTGCTGCTGCAACTGCAGATTCTCCCCCTTCTCTGGCAGCAACCCGCGCTGTGCTGCGTAGTGACCCGTTCCATGTCAATGCACTTTTCTAAATACATTAACGCCCCCTGCATGCACCCCCCCCCCCACCGCCTCGGGTCCCTCTAACTGTAGGCGCACAGTGATTGCATCACCTTTCTCTATTCAAGACGGGAAACAGGTTGGAATGTTGAGACGATGCGCAAACGACGAGCTCGATTGCGAACGTGGCGGGGCGTTTGCTCTCCCAACACGCAACTGGACGGGGGGGGCTGAAGCAGTGACAAGTTGTGTTGGATCTATGCCCTGTTTTCCGTTATTAATATTAAGAATAATTAAGAAAAAAAAATTATTTTTGTTTTATTATATCTATATTTGTTTTTAATAATGAGGACGGCTCACTTCTCCTCACGGGCACACCGGGAGTCCATGAGACATGGAGGGCGGTTGAAATGATAGGAATTCGGTCACAAGAGGTCATAGACATCCAGACGGACAAAAAGATGTATGGACTAAACCTCCCAAGACATCTGGAGATGTACAGATAAGGTGCAGAGTGAATAACGGTTGAAACTTCGCGTTTTCTTAACGTTTCCCTCACCGAAAAGTAGAAACTTAACAAAGATAATTAACCAACAAACAATAATTTTTACTATTATTATATGTTTCCTACTTACACGACCTTCCAAAAAAACTAAAGAGTACGAATTCCAGAAAGCTTAAGTGCATGTGCACTTAACCTCAGGACATAAAAAAATTAACTCACAATAAAACACCAATCTCTGGAGAACTAAACTTGGCGAAGCCCAAATAATAATGTGACGAGGAGTCATGGCGAATATTCATTAAACATAGACGAATTGATAACCACGATACTAAGACCGAAGGAACTCATAAAATATAATTCAAGAATAAATGTAACACACAGGACCACATAAATGTAGTGCAAACATCTCCTCGACCACCTTTGTCTTCCAGGCGGGTCTGACCTCAGAATGACCCACCCAGGGGTAAGCAAGGAGGGAGCAAAAGGTCACAAGGGGGGGGGGGGGTTTGTGCTGACATTGGTTGTTTTCTCTCGCAAGAGACGCGGAGAGAGGAGTGACTGCTCGCGTGTTGAGTTAAGCACGGCCGTCTTTGTTCCCCGCCAGCAACAAACAGATGGCCCATGAATACTTGGAGGGTAGGAAGGTCGCGAGGAGGGACCGCGGTGCTGTCTGCTTATTCTCGCACTGTTTTAGGTTGTTTGTCTCTCGCAAAAGAAAGAGGAGGGTGATCGCGTTTTGAGCACAAACAGCAAGATTGCACCACGCAAGCAAAATAACATTCCCCACCCCTCCTCCCAGAATGGTTACACCGCTGGGTCTTTACTAATAAACACGCACACGACACACGAAACACACGAACGCAGATGTGTTCAACCCACAGAAAGATATATGACGGCCTTCAAACAACTCGGGAAGATTGAGTGGATTTTCTGAATATAAGCCGGGGAAAAAATCCATTCAACTCAGATCGACAGGGGCTCTGGCCCCCACCAACAGATCTCCAGGGCTTCGGCTCCATCTCTTCTCGTCGACGCCAACGAAGAAGCTTTTCGTTCATACAGAAGGACAGGTTCGCGCGGTGAAGTAAAGCTGGCAGCCGCACGAACAAGGGGAACACGGAGCAGAGAGAGAGTGACGAGTGACGACAAGCAATCAACCTGTAAAAGGGCAGAGATCGCCAAGCGTTCGACCAAGCGAGCAAAGCAGGAGAGCGCGAAGCAGTGGGAGGAAGCCTGGTCAAACGGCTTGCGAGGGAGAGGACAGCGCCATCGAATGCGCCGTGTGCCTGAGGGCACACCGACCAACGACCAGTGTGAACACACAAGACGTCCAGGAGCGACGGCGAGCATTCGTGCCGACTCAACAATCAATCGAGCAGTGGAGAAGCCGGGGGCTGCCACCAAGAAAGCGCGTGCGCCACCTTGCGCCACCGTGCGCCAGCTTGCGCCACCGTGCGCCACCGTGCGCCACCTGGCGCCACCTTGCGCCACCGTGCGCCACCTGGCGCCACCTTGCGCCACCGTGCGCCACCGGGCGCCACCGTGCGCCACCTTGCGCCACCGTGCGCCACCCTGCGCACCCGTGCGCCACCGGGCGCCACCGTGCCGCCCACCGAGCGACACCGTGCGCCACCCTGCGCCACCGTGCGCCACCGGGCGCCACCGTGCGCCACCGTGCGCCACCGAGCGACACCGAGCGACACGAGCGACCGAGCATCTTCAAGGAGAACATCGTGCCAACGCCGCTCAATCCAGCAGTGGAGAGAGAGAGAGAGCAAAAGCCGAGCGACACGCCGAGCGAGGGAGCAGCAGGAGCTTGCGGCGGCCACGCCCAATCGAGAGGAACATCTGGCCGCTGTTCGTATCCTCCCACACCACACAAGCTAACGACACAATTAATATTACGAGGGGACAAACGCACACACAGCACGCACACGAATAAGACTTTAAAAGAAAAAACTGTCTTTGCGTTTCAAAAAGGGTTGCCATTTCGAGGTGGTGCGTTCAATATCAACTGATCGTGCAAAGCAGTTGCTGCGTCGAGTTACATGAATAAGAAATGTTTTGTGGTCATTCATTTTCGTTAACTGCATAATTTCGCCAATGAAGAAGTATTTTTAGTCATTCAATTTCGTTAATTGCATAAGATTGCCCATGAATTTATTGACGTATACTCGCTTTCGCATACTAGAGTGTCATGTGCTTGTTTAGAATTAAATTGCTTAACACCAACTGTTCGAGTGCTTCTTTCCAAGTCCATGCAAAACTGTCTTATTCTTGACAACTGTATCCTGTGATGAGATCTGAACCTGGAGACCTTAAAATAATATAAACACACTAAGATAATCAGTAAATGTTTAATCGATGATAATCGTGTTATCCTGATTGATATAACCCTGGATAAACGAAACCAAGCCTAATTAACATAATGCTTATATTAACATAATCGCAAGCATCCGCATAAATTACTACGATTATCTCTACGATTATCATAATTTATGCATATAATTACACGCATTATCATAATTTATGCATGTTAATACACGCACTATCATAATTAATGCGATTTGCGCATTTTTCGGAAAATTATTAATTTTTATTATTTTTTATCAAAATTTCATAATCCCGAAACATACAACAGTTGGCACGTGACGTTCGCGTGACAAACCTTACCGCTCGTCCGCGTGGGGCGGATGTGGGGTGCACAACACACATTGTGGCATTTTACCAAGCCAAAGGAGGTTTTTTTAAATCACGAGTAGGTAAATGATTCGATACGGAAATGTTCTTGTGAATCGACAGGAGATCGTCTGCACGGGGAAGAAGATGTGGCACCCCCCACCACGTGCCATCTACTGCTTCCAAGATTGTGAGGTAAGAACCCTTTGTGTGTACGTACCACCTACGTATGTTGAACTACTTTCCTTTGCTCGCAACTCTAACACAAAACAACTTTAAGGGCCGAGCTTCCAAGTGTTGCCAGCCATTTGAAGTAAAGTACGATGCTCCGTTTTCACCTTGCACGTGAACTGAAGCAAATATTCAAACAGCTTGAAATATATCGTTTGTGTGTATATGCAGTACACATGTTAGTGGGAGTGGTAGTGTAGTGTGTGTATATGCAGTACACAGGTTAGTGGGAGTGTAGTGTAGTGTGTGTATACAGTACACAGGGTAGTGGGAGTGGTAGTGTAGTGTGTGTATGCAGTACACTGTTAGTGGGAGTGGTAGTGTAGTGTGTGTATATGCAGTACACAGGTTAGTGGAGTGTAGTGTAGTGTGTGTATACAGTACACAGGGTAGTGGGAGTGGTAGTGTAGTGTGTGTATGCAGTACACATGTTAGTGGGAGTGGTAGTGTAGTGGGTGTATATGCAGTACACAGGTTAGTGGTAGTGTAGTGTGTGTGTACAGTACACACGTTAGTGGTAGTGTAGTGTGTGTACAGTACACACGTTAGTGGGAGTGTAGTGTGTGTATACAGTACACAGGGTAGTGGGAGTGGTAGTGTGTGTATACAGTACACAGGTTAGTGGTGTGTGTGTGTATACAGTACACAGGGTAGTGGTGTGTGTGTGTGTATACAGTACACAGGGTAGTGGTAGTGTATGGGTGTGTGTGTGTATACAGTACAACAGGGTAGTGGGAGTGGTAGTGTAGTGTGTGTATACAGTACACACGTTAGTGGTAGTGTAGTGTGTGTATACAGTACACAAGGTTAGTGGGAGTGGTAGTGTAGTGTGTGTATATAGTACACAGGTTAGTGGTAGTGTAGTGTGTTGTGTACAGTACACAGGTTAGTGGGAGTGTAGTGTGTGTATATAGTACACAGGTTAGTGGGAGTGTAGTGTGTGTATACAGTACACAGGTTAGTGGGGAGTGGTAGTGTAGTGTGTGTGTACCGTACACAGGGTATGGGAGTGTAGTGTGTGTATACAGTACACAGGTTAGTGGGGAGTGGTAGTGTAGTGGTGTGTATACAGTACACATGTTAGTGGTAGTGTAGTGTGTGTATCAGTACACAGGGTTATGGGGAGTGGTAGTGTAGTGTGTGTATACAGTACACAGGTTAGTGGTAGTGTATTGTGTGTATACAGTACACAGGTTAGTGGGGAGTGTTAGTGTAGTGTGTGTGTACAGTACACAGGGTAGTGGAGTGGTAGTGTAGTGTGTTACAGTACACAGGATAGTGGGAGTGGTAGTGTGTGTATACAGTACACAGGGTAGTGGGAGTGGTAGTGTAGTGTGTATACAGTACACACGTTAGTGGGAGTGTAGTTGTGTATACAGTACACAGGGTAGTGGGAGTGTAGGGTGTGTATACAGTAACACCAGGGGTAAGTGGTAGTGGTAGGTGTGTGTATACAGTACACAGGTAGTGGTAGTGTAGTGTGTGTATACGTACACAGGTAGTGGGAGTGGTAGTGTAGTGTGTGTATACGTACACAGGGTAGTGGGAGTGGTAGTGTAGTGTGTGTATACAGTACACAGGTAGTGGTAGTGTAGTGTGGTATACAGTACACATGTTAGTGGGAGTGGTAGTGTAGTGTGTGTATACAGTACACAGTGTAGTGGGAGTGGTATTGTAGTGTGTGTATACAGTACACAGGTAGTGGGAGTGGTAGTGTAGTGTGTGTATACAGTACAACAGGTTAGTGGGAGTGGTAGTGTAGTGTGTGTATACAGTACACAGGTTAGTGGGAGTGTAGTGTGTGTATACAGTACACAGGGTAGTGGGAGTGGTAGTGTAGTGTGTGTATACAGTACACAGGTTAGTGGGAGTGGTAGTGTAGTGTGTGTATACAGTACACATGTTAGTGGGGAGTGGTAGTGTAGTGTGTGTGTACAGTACACAGGTTAGTGGGGAGTGGTGGTGTGTATACAGTACACAGGTTAGTGGGGAGTGGTAGTGTAGTGTGTGTGTACAGTACACATGTTAGTGGGGAGTGGTAGTGTAGTGTGTGTGTACAGTACACAGGGTAGTGGGAGTGGTAGTGTAGTGTGTGTATACAGTACACAGGTTAGTGGGGAGTGGTAGTGTAGTGTGTGTATACAGTACACATGTTAGTGGTAGTGTAGTGTGTGTATACAGTATACAGGTTAGTGGGGAGTGGTAGTGTAGTGTGTGTATACAGTACACATGTTAGTGGTAGGTGTAGTGTGCTGTACAGTACACAGGTTAGTGGTAGTGTGTAGGTGTGGTGTACACGTACACAGGTTAGTGGGAGTGGTAGTGTAGTGTGTATCAGTACACATGTTAGTGGGGAGTTTGTGTGTAGTGGTGTGTGTACAGTACACAGGTTAGGGGGGAGTGGTAGTGTAGTGTGTGTATACAGTACACAGGTAGGGTAGTGTAGTGGTGTGTATACAGTATACAGGTTAGTGGGGAGTGGTAGGGTAGTGTGTGTATCAGTACACAGGTAGTGGTAGTGTAGTGGTGTGTATACAGTACACAGGTTAGTGGTAGGTAGTGGTGTGTATACAGTACACAGGTTAGTGGGGAGTGGTAGTGTAGTGTGTGTATACAGTACACAGGTTAGTGGGGAGTGGTAGTGTAGTGGTGTGTATACAGTACACATGTTAGTGGGAGTGTAGTGTGTGTACAGTACACAGGGTAGGGGGAGTGGTAGTAGTAGTGTGTGGTATACAGTACACAGGTTACTGGGTGCAGTGGTAGTGTCGTGTGTGTATACAGTACACAGGTTAGTGGGGGTATGTAGGTGTAGTGGTGTGGTACAGTACACAGGTAGTGGGAGTTGTAGTGTCGTGGTAGGTGTAGGGCTGTTACAGAGGGGCTGTTTGTGTAGGGCTGTTTGCATAGGATCTAACGGATACAAACACAGTGGGCGGGGACTCCGCCGGTGCACGGGGTGGTGCCCGCAACGACGTCCGCACCGGGCGGCGTGAGGGGGGGTTGTGATCCTCTGGGGGAGTATAAAAAGGGATGAGCCAGAGAGCTCGGGGTTCAGTCTTAGAGTAAATAGGGGAAGACGGAAGATCGACCAGATAGGCCCTGGACTCCCCTGGGACGCCGCCCTTATCAGGGCAGCGCAGGACGGAGCCAGTGGCGTGGTCCCGTGAACCAGAGTTAGTACTCTGGGACTCCGGGTACCGTAGCCCGACTGACCAGTGTCGGGCCAGACAGCCTCCCCTAGCCCGTTAGTGGAGGACTCGGGGTAGGTCAGGATAGCTAGAGGTGTATCCCCAGTTATACGGGTGAGGGGGCCGATACACCCCTCTAGTGCTGTACGACCATTGTGTAAATAAACACGTGTGCCTTACAACGGTGTCCAAGCGTCTTCAAGGGTACTTCATCTGGTGTCAGAAGAACTACGACATGGACACGCGCCAATCAGCTCGGGCCAAAGTACAACAAATGGAGGACGCCGCCGAAATTGTCGAGCCCGAGATGGCTCAACAAGACATCGTGCAGCCGGGGCCGGACGCGTTCTTACCGGAGCGTCGGCATGAAGAGGGGCCGCAGACAGACGAGCTGAGGCTGGGCTCACGAGAGGCTGGCTGAAACTGCTTTACGCCGCTGCCGCCACGCTGGAGAAGCATCACGCGGCTGGGGGCTGGTGGTCCACCGCGGGGCGAGGGGGAGCCGGCGTCCGGAGCGCCTTCCCGCCATTTCCGAAGATTCAAACTTTGAATTTCCCGCCATCGATGCGGCGGCCGCTAGGGGCGTGGCCAGCCTGAACCTCGGGTCCGACATCGGCCGCGCTGGGGCTGCCGCGTCAACGACGGAGGAGGGCGCGTCATCACGGCTGCGACAGGCGATACCATCTGCCGTTCGCGCCGAAACACAGCCGAGTCGGGGAGACAGCAGCCCGCGGGATTCCACGGCAACCGCTGCGCTGCACCAAAGACTGCCTCCGCTTAAAGAATTTGTGGGCGCAGAAGGCGACTGGGGCGGCTTCCAGCGACGCTTCCTCGCCCACCAAGAAATGGCCAAATGGACGGATGCTGAAGCTCTCTGCGCGCTGCCGGCGCTCCTCGACGGCGACGCGCTCGCCGCCCTCACATCGGCGCCGAAGGAGAAGCGCTCTACGCTACCGTTGGCGCTGCAGCTGCTGGCCGGGGTCTACGGACCTTCCGCGGAATGCAGGCAGCAGTTCTACGACCGCCAGCGGGGCACGAAGGAGTCGCCCCTGGCATACAGAACAAGTCTCCTGGCGTTGGCCAAGACAGCCTTTCCTCGCATGGACGAGGACGGGGTCGACGCCATGGTGACAGAAAAAATCCTCCTGCTGGCAGACGACCTGGACATCGCCGTCGTTGCACAGGAGGATACGGAGATGACTTCCCTACAAGCGGCGCGGCTCCTCCACGCCAACCTGCTGTCACAGCGGCGGAAGGCCAGCAGGGCAGCGTCCGGGCGTGCTGTGGCGGCAGCCACCCCTCCCGGCGGAGGAGGTTTTCGCCGTCAACCATCGTCGGCAGCAGGGGACGGGAGCACGGTCCGGGCCGGGATGGGTCGAGCCGCTTCGACCGTCCGTCATCGCCGCCGGCGCTCCCGCGTTGCTTCAAACTGCGGCGTCCGAGGCCATGTCGCCTCGGGGGTGCCGCTCTCCCCGACAGTGCGGGACGACGCCTCGCCAGGACGCCGGGCCTCCACTCCTCCTCCCAAGCTCCATCAACATGATCCGGCGAGTCGCGGCACCACACATGTTTGGTCAAAACACACACCTGTCGCACACTCTCGCATCGCAACGAATGGGGGGACGACGTTGCATCGCGACGGGTCGGCGCGCACCACTGTGGGGACTCGAATCGAGCCCGGGCAGTGGTCTGCGTTGGCCCATCGCGTTGTGGCCGCATCGTCGGGGTCGTCGGCCGTCGTGGGACACATTGACGGGGTTGAGGTACGCATCC